AATGATATCAAAATAACTTGTCCTTATCAAAAATGAAGTCAAAAATATCCCTAAATTCGAAAAGACCGAGAAGTTACTTAAATCAGAAAAATTCAAAACGAGAAACTCAAAACAGTTTGAATGCCTAAGAAACACCATAATTCGTTAAATAGCCTGAGAAAATTGACATGAGGCAAAAGATGAAAGGTAGAAATGCCTTCAAATTTCTTCCGGTTTTGATATTTTTAATCCGCCTCATTCAATAGTTGTTAGATCTAAATATAAATATGCTAATTTATTAAAGCAGACAACAGTTTAAGTTACGAAATCAAGCATAAAAACGTACTACTATTTCTGCATAAACATACTTTATTTTTGACGGATGTGAAGTTTTGACCCTCAAAACAGGTGGAGGTAGCAATGTGGTAAATACGGTACTAATAGTCGAGGTTACTTTTTTCGGTATTATTCAGTAACTTTTCAGGCGAATAAAAACTTTTGTAAAATTTGTAAAAAGAAATTTATCATGTAAGAAAAAGCATTATTTATTTCTTTTTATTACTTATTGAGCAAGCGTTGAATTGCCAGGTACACAAATTTCTACATGAGTCTAAAGTAAGTAATTTTAAATAATTAAAATAAATATGAAACTTGAGAAAACTGGTAAAATATTTCTCGCAAAACGACTTTTTAAAATTAGTCACTTAGCCGTTTAAAAATATACATTTGTTAGTGAGTATTTTATTAATTTAGATTCTTAAGTCGACAGTAATGCGGTTCTTTTAATACTATTTTTTAAAGAATGAGACCTCGAATATTTTATGTTAAAATTGTTATACAAGTGCCGATTCTGTATTGGAGAATCAAATTCAGTGCAGTTCATTTATCATTATCTTCCCAAAGTTTGATTCTTCTTAATATATGTTAATTCCATCTATGGTTATCCATTTATATAAGTATTCCATAAGTACACCATAATTTGCATGCAATTTTAATTACTGATAACTTTTTATCATTCATTTATTTATCTTCACAAATTTTGATACCAATAATAATGTTAATTCCATCTGCAGTTATGTATTTATATAAGTTGATGTTGAGAACTCTATCGTTATCTATATATTAGATAATAATATTCTGTTTTTAGATTCCAGTTTATTCATTTACCACAAATAAGAAATGATGTTTAATTTAAGATAATATTTGTTAATAATTATTTAAATATCCCACGCAGTAACATAATTACCATAATTTGCATGCAATTTTAATTACAAAAATATATTTATCTGTGTTGGATCTTTTTATTTTATCATTTACAATTATTTTCACAAAGTTTGATTCTTCTTAATATATGTTAATTCCATCTATGGTTAATCTATTTATAGAAGCTGATGCAAAGAATTCTATCATTATCTATATATTAGATAATGGTATTAGGTTTGGTTTTTATATTTTAGTTTTTTCCCATTTGCCATGAATAAGAAAGGATACTTAAATTAGGATAATATTTATTAATAGCTATTTAAATAAACTATACAGTACCATAATTTGTATACAATTTTAATTACTGAGAGCTTTTTATCATTTATTATCATCCTCAAAAAGTTTGATACTCATAATAATGTTAATTCCATCTATGGTTATGTATTTGTAAAAGTTAATGTCTAGAATTCTATATATTAGATAATAATATTTCGTTTTTACATTCTAGTTTATTTATGTGCCATAAATAAGAACTGGTGTTTAAAAGAGGATAATATTTGTTAACAGTTGTTTAAATATCCCATGCAGTATCATAATTACGAAAGCAAATATGACATTGATATGGTTAAAAAAGCTTCAATAATAAATTACACAATTTGGTTGAGTAGGTCAGTTATCAATAATTCAGGTATGGTCTCTTACAGTTAATGACATGATCTAGAAATGGCTTGCGAAAACATATTTGGCGACGCGAAATAGATTATTTTGGAAAATACGAAATTCAGCACTATAATATGTGCTTATTCAAAGAGTGTTATTTCATATACAATAATTTATTGTGTTAGATGAGATTACTTTTTTTATTATTTAAAACTAAAATTTATATTCGTTGGAGAAGACGTCATTTTGATCATGCATTACAGTTGTTTATGAAAATTCGAACAGCTTGAAATGCGTATTTGACAAAAATCGACATAGCTTATAATGTGTTATTTCGTTAATTTTTTATTTCATATCCGGCCGTTTATGATCATCAATGTTCAATTTCGTAGCTTTGTAATTTGAACCCTACACAGAAGACAAAATAACTCGTTGATCAAGCATTGGGACAAACTAGCTTTCGTAAAGGACTTTTTTTATGAAACAAGCAAGCATTTAAATTTAAACAGTTAGTCCAGAGGCAAAGAGAGATAATGCATGATTAAAAAAGTCAGTAAAAATGTGTTTAGAAGCATTTCTTGGCGAAATTGGCTCCCTGCTAAATAAAATGACGCCAAAAACAAAACATAATTAAAGCATAAAGAATTATAATAAAAAATGCATTTTACATAAAAATAAAATAAGAACGTAAAAATGGATATGCACGCTATCTGATAAATGCAGTAAAAAAGAAAATGTCGATTTACATTATTTAAAGGTTTTTGTCTGGGTTGCTATATTTGAAACAACTCCGTTCATTTTGGTGACCAATTTAGTAATAAACCAAGGGGAGCAGCGAAATATAGTCTACTCTGTCTTTCAAACTGTGAAAAATTTATTATTTTAATTAAAATCTAGAGATAAATCTAATAATTATTATTTTTTTTATTGTATTGGATTTCAAATCGTGATGATATCAATAAGAGAAAAAAGTCTGTATCGTAATTTAAATTTTCAGCTGAAGTTTTGAACACTTATTTCTTTCATTATGATCATTTTTTTTCATGTTTTTTCAACACTTAGCAATTTTTTCAACATGTCTCAGAAACCATAAAAAATATCTGAATGAAATTTAGATGAAATATACTGTGGATGTATAATTAAGTTGAATTCATGTAACTGAAAAATATATTTCAGATTTTGATGCATACATTGCTTTCATGTCTCAGAAACTATAGAAAATATCTGAATGAAATATATTGTTTATGTATAATTAAGTTGAATTCATATAACTGAAAAATATATTTTAAATTTTGATGTATACATTGCTTTCAAGAAATATCCGTAAAGAAAAATTCGCTTTTTTAATTTTGAAAATGCTTAAGACCTTTATAGCAAATAAATCTGAAAGCAAATTGAAGTATGGATATTTTTATTCCAAATAAATTAATAATAATTTCTTAAAGCATCATATTTTTAATTTATTTTAGAATTTTTAATGATGTCTCATAGAATGTTTGAAAACATTCTTTTACTTATCAAATTATACGAATGCACAAAAAAAAAAAAACTTAACGCAATGCACGAACTCTTAAAAAAGTTTTAAAAACTTCTGATTAAACTGCCATGATTTAATCTTGAAAAATTACATGGTAATAATGTAATCTTACATTTACCATGATGTAACCTGGCAATTACTGTGATGTAACATTACATTTACTATGTTATAATCTTAAATTTGATAGTTAATACTACAGAGCCAAGTTAAGATAGTGTCTAGACTCGGTCGCAGAAACAGAAAGTTTCTGTTTATTGTCGTAAAATCGACAATAATTTTTTGTTGTTTTTATTGAAGTTTATACATGATATTGTTGAAATATGGTAAGGTTGTTCAATTACACTATGATGGAATAAAAACCAGAAGTTTTAATATATAAAATGCTGCTTTTGCTAAGTACGCTCACTCTAATATAAGTTTTGATTTGCAAATTTCAAAAATTATATTGTAAATGCTGTATAGTGTTATTCGTACAATTTGATCTTTTAGATTAATTTTATGAGCTAGAATGTTTTTTAAAAATTTGTTTTCTTCTAATGAAATTTGTTTCTTTTTATATGAAATTTTTTAAATAATTGAAGAGTGAAGCTAGGCTTGCCAAGCAAGTAAAAAAAAGTTTGGAAAGATAGCGCTTCTCAATTATTCAAAGAAAACCGAAGTCAATTAAATAGGCTGATAACGTCTTTTAATTGACAACAAAAATTTCTTGTTTTTATGATAAATTTTAAATAATTGAAGCGAAAAGCTAGGCTTGCCAAGCAAGTAAAAAAAAGTTTGGAAAGATAGCGCTTCTCAATTATTCAAAGAAAACCGAAGTCAATTAAAGACGTTAATAGCGTCTAATGTAATGTTACTAATGGAGACGTTAATAACGTAGAAACAGATGCACAAAGTATTGCGTAACAAAATTTAAGCGTAAGAAACTGAATTGAATCATAATGGACATAAAAAAAAGTATGACGAAATGTGAAAAAAAAAATCATTTTAACTATACTGAAAATAAAAATTATTTTGTAAGAGAAATTTTACTGGGCTAAATTGGTATATATCTAATTTTAAAACGTTGTGTTTAAAAGCAGTAGTTAAAAACTATTATTTTTATTTCTGATATTGATATGGTGAGACGAAATAAAAAAAATATCTAAATCCGGACCCAATTTTATTTATCTTTTAGCTCCCTTTTTGAACTCTCTGAAAAATCTAGTCAGCGTTGTGCCATAAGATTAGCCCCTCAAACCATCAAGCGCTTAAACTCTGTTCAAATTGAAACGGATTGTCAAATAATTAAGTTATGACAACAATATAATTCACCTATGTAAGATATTAAGTTTGCAAAAATTTTGAATAAGATTATGGTTTGAACTTTATTGAAACTACAATATATAAGATATTAAGTTCGCAGAAATTTTGGACAAAATTATGGTTTGTACTTTATCGAAACTACAATATATAAGATATTAAGTTTGCAGAAATTTTGAACAAGATTATGGTTTGTACTTTACTGAAACTACAATATATAACATATTAATTTTGCAGAAATTTTGAACAAGATTATAGTTCAAATTTTATTGCAATATGTTTTGTATGAATTTTGGTTATAATCGATGTATTTTGTTTATAGCCTGGTGGTTTTATGGAGGATCCAATTCCATATAGAATAGTACAAGATGTATATTCGGTTTCAAGATGGGACAAAGTGGGACGATTTTATATAAGATTAGTGATTCCAGATGGATCCATTCTGTTGCAGGTGAGTCTCAATTTATTAATATAATTCTCATTTACATTTATATGCAATCGCAGCGCTCGAATACGCCATCTGGGGAGCAGACTGGTTCCATGCCTTTGACCCTTCCCTATCTCCTTTTTTTAGTTGTATAGGAATGCACTGCGATATTTTTCCCTTTCTTAATATTTTTCGTATTTAATTGATAAAAATATTTTTTTAAATTTCCATGAAGCTTTCTTTTAGAACTATGCTTAATGTAGTTTTCAGTTCCATATGGTTTCCTAACTTAAAAGTTTTTAATCTATTTGAAATTCAAGACAGAAACTAACGTACTTCCTTCTTCTGTGACTCTCAACGCGCTTATGCTGAAAGCATGCGCAGTGTTGCCATAGGTAGAAAGTTTTGCTCTACGCAGCCTGTAGCCCATTTCGATCTCCAATTGTCTTATAGTGCAGCTAAAACAGCTGAAAATTACTCCTAGATTGACAAACTGATCATTCTTGAAAGAGTAAGTGGTAAAAAGTTGCACAATGTGACACAACATGCGAAGCGTAAGGATCGATAGTTTAGATAAATTCGTAATAGTACTTATGTAAGCATCTATCATTGCTCTTTAGACGATTGAAGTATTGTTCTTTACGTAATTTCTTTCTCTGATTTGAATGAATCAATGGTATTAATAGTATTAACCCTATTAACTGGTGCCTGGGATCTTATGTGTGAAAATTAATATTTTTGATTTTTACTTATACAATTTTGACAGTGCTATCTGTCCCGCCGTGGACTGATCGTAAAGACACGGTTCCCATTAGAACACCGAAGTTAGGCGTCACTAGTTGAGGTCAATAAGCTGGTGGATGACCGCTTTGATCAGCCTTCGTAGGGACCGAGGGTGCGTGATATCATTCCTCGTTAAACTGTTCGACCGTAAAGTGCTCGACTTCACACTGGTCGTCGGGCTACCAAAGCAGGGAAGCCATCCCCTCTGCAGAGGATCAAAATGGCGATGGCATGTTTTCATCCTCAGGGATGTTTCAAAGACCGCCGCCAACAGCCCGTTGTGCAGTTCTAGTGCGACTTAAACAAAGTACCTACCTACCTACATTGCTATCTAGTAGCTGTCTATATTAAGGAAGTACTGTTTCCTGTCTATTTTATACTGAAGCCAATGAGTCCAAGTACGCTGTAACAGGACTTATACTTTCGAATTCATTGTGGTTTTATGTATAAAAAGTACAATGCTTGATTTGCACCTATTTACGAATCCGAGTTTGCTGTCTAAACAAATTAATTATTATTACTTATGTATTTGTCAAGCAATATCGACTAGAAACCAAGTTCGCGACGATGTTGCTAACTGCCTTGGTTATGTATGTCATAGGCTACTTGAAAAATCCGGCTGTTTGCAAACTACCAACGCCAGTTTGTAATGTGCCTGTAAAGCTCCCCGAAAGTTGCCTAACAAATGACATATGCAGTTTGCAAAAGGCCGGCTTTTTCAACATTATATATGAATGAGATTACACAAAATGTAAAGAAAGATTCTTATACATGTTTTCAAACTAAGAAATGTTATATTTTTGGAAACAGTTATCAGAAAATCGTAGCTCCAACAAAATTGACGAAGTCATTTTAATCAGAGTAATATGTCAGTAATTTTATTAACACTTAGAGACTTACAAATTATTTACGCTAAATATGTTAACTTATTTTATTTATTATAGGTTTCTAATTCTTATGTACGAGATCAGTGGTTACATTCCTTGATGTGGAAGGTAATTATTTTATTTCGAAAATTAAGCATTCTTTTAAATACTGATTGCAATGCTCTTTGTAGAAAAAATATTTCTCAGTTCTCAAGTATTCTGTACAAGTATTCTTCAAGTATTAAGTTCTCAAGTATTCTGTTTGTGTATTGTATAATGTTGTTTACATAAGCATTTTTTTGTTGTTGTTTTCATTAGGTTTTCATAATTACTTTGTTTTCTATTGTTATTTAAATAAGAATTTTTTTTATTTTTAACTTATGAATAATACTTATGTTTTTTAATAAAGTTTAATATGAAAAATATGCGCTGTTTAAGAGTATGTTTTACGTTGTTGTTAAATTTTTCATGATTGCTATTTGCACTGTAAAAAAGTCCAGATCAAATTACGGTAGAAAGTTCCCGGCACTGAGGGTGCCAGTTTTTTTTTACCGTTAAGTTTTACGGAACAAAAATTCTAATGTGCTGTAATTTTTACGGTAATGTATACAGTCAAATCAGTGAATCCCTGCAATTAAATAAATATATTACTGTAAAAATTTACAGTATAAAGTTTTGCGGTAAAACTGAATTTTAGGGATGCTTCTCTCTACATTTCAGTATTTCTTAGCGTAATTTGATCCGGAATTTTTGCAGTGGGTACTATGTAGTTTAAAAAGTATATACTTTAAGTTTAGTCTTTTATAATATTTTCTTTTTTTATTCAACTGTAATTTTTTTGTTTTCATTGAATTCTAATGGTCACTATTTGTATCTCAAATGTTACGTAAATGAAGTGTTTTTTTATTTTTTATTATTACAAATGCATCTAGTGTTTTAAACATTATGTAAATGTAATGTATTTTCTATTTCAATCTAATAGACAACTTTAATGGTTTGTTTTTGTACAATATAATGATGATATAGGTTCAATTAGAAACATAAGGAAAAAATTTATACAATTGTGCCAACTTATATTTCATTGCTTAGTTGATATAGAATCAAGTCAACCGTTAATAATATCAATTTTAATAACATTGTAAGACGTTTAAAATAAACTTTTTTTTTTAGCACGTGTCAAACTTTTATTTTTGATACATATTTTTATTGCTATTACGAGCATAATTAAATTTAATTTAATATTGATATTTAATATTGAAATATATGAAATTTATTATTGATTTTAAAAGCATAATTAAAGTCATAATTAAGGATTTACATTTAAGGATAATCATTTAGAATCACATTCTACAAATATGCAATCAAATATACTCCCTAACTTTTATTTTAACTTAAATATTATGAATTGAATTTTATTATTCATTTATTAAAACTATTTATTAATTTTTAAACATATTATTTATATAATATGATTAAAATTATGTGGATAATTAAAACATATTATTAATATTTATAAATACATTATAAAACCTTCACTAGAATTTTTATTATTTTAAAAGTTATTTTCAAAATTTCATATAAATAATACACTAACTTACTGTTAAGTCGAAATATGTGTTTTTATGCAACTATTGTTTTAGTTTATTTCACTATTATTATATTATTTTCTGAAATCATTAATTTACTCTGATACTTTGAAAGACTAGGAGATTAAGGACAGTAATGTTACTAAATAATTTGAAAATATAGCAAAACAATTTAAAACATCAATGATGTGAAAACTATTTCAAAAAGCTCAATATTATTACTTTTGTCTGCCTCTCCCTGGTGACAGGCAAACCAACACCTGCCTATCCCGACTGGCCAGTGGACACCTGAAAAGTCTCACATTTTCTGCAAATCAAAAGATCTTTCCTCTTTGCCCTAAATGCCAACAAAACCAGGCATCACCTGAGCACATCTTGATCTGTTTAGGGCTGGACTGGAACGATATTCATTCCTCTCCCATTCTGGTTTCGGATTTTCTCAATGTTAACGAATTCATTGATCTGGTCTGACCCCGTCAGACCAGATGGGAATTAGCAACAACAACAACAACTTTTGTCTGCAAATGTAATTGTATAGAGAAACAATGGTTGAATTTGTTTTTAATTAAATTTGTTTAATGAGTTATTAATCGTAGACATATTCGCCTTTGGGACCGGAAAATAAGATATAAATGTTTATCATACAGATTTTTCTCATCGCTGTTTGATTCATATTTTTTGATTCTGAAAACTTCGCGAAAAACATTTGACCAGCAAAAGCATTAATTTACAATCAAAATAAAATGTTTTTTTTTGAAATTATTTCAAAGAAATTATTTAGGAAAATCTTTAAAATATTATCAAAATGTTACATTTCTAAGTTTAAACCACAGTTTTTTTTAAAAAAAAATATGTTTTTGATACAATTTATATAATGCTTTACAGTACAGTTATGCAATTTATATTATGTTTTTTGAGAGACCATTCCATAGCTTTGATATATAATTTTTTTATATTGATATTTTTTATCTAATTTCGTTTAAAATTTGTCACATATTGTTACTTGTAAGTATATTTAAAATATACTTATAAATTTGTTTGTAAATATATTTAAAATTTATTTCATTTCAATACCACCTTGTCTCTGATGTGAAAATACTTTATTATATTTTCAGAGAAATGTTTTTAAAGTTGGAAGAACATTAATTTCCTGTAACAGACCAGAAATTTTAGTATCAGAATTAAGGGTAGGTAAACTTTATATTTCTATAATATTTTAATTTATATAAATAAATTTTTTAAGATATATTGTGCTTTTTCTAAATTTTAGATACATGCATATATGTAGAAATTTTCTATAAAAAATTGACTTTATTGAGTTTGAATTTCTTGGCTTTTGAAACTGATCATTAATTACTTACTGTCGTAGCAATCTGAAAAAATTAAGAATCAATTTTAATGATAATTTATTTTATGAAATAAACGATTAATAAAATATAGCCGCATTCATTTTTTTTGAAAATTCTTTTATTTAATTATGTAATCTGAGTTAAAAAAAGTATTTGAAATTTTTTTAATAATATAATTAAAACTCGTATTAAACATTAGCAGTAAAAAGAAAACTTATGAAGAGCTTCAACGAAGCTTTGAAATTTTTTCTTTATGTGAACGGGATTTGAGCAGTATACCCAATGGGAAATTTTTCCACTGGTGACATTTCTTTGGGCAGTACAGTGATACATGTTCTAATGGTTACATTTTCTCAATGGTGCCACAATGGCCAACTTGCTTCACTTTGTAAAAAAATATTTTCCAGTGGTAACGAAATTTAAATTATTTTTAATTTAGTATTTTTCATTTTATGTAATTTTCCCACCAGTGCAAATCAAAAATTCAAAGTATCATATGAAATGTAAATTTTTGCAGTTAGGTAATTGCAAAATTGGTGACACGTTTTGTGAACATGCTGGCACTTTTAGACTTTTCCCCCCATAATTATCCTTATTTAACAAGTTTCACCATTTAATTTGTAACCAATTTATTAAATCTTTAGCAGAAAGCGAAGCAGCTGATATCCCTTGTGACATTGCTTTGAGTAGTATTAATGTTCTAATGGCGAAATTTTTCATCGATTGAGGTAGTTGGTGACATCGATTGAATAGTGACATCTGTACCATTGATGTTCTTCTAATAGTGATATTGCCTTGGGCAGCATGGTGACTCCTTTTCTAATGGTGACATTGCCTTGGGCAGTATAGTGACATCCTTTTTAATGGTAAAATTTTTCCAATGGTGAAATTACTTTTAGTACATATTGACACTTGTTCAAGCGGTGGCATTTTTCTAATGGTGACATTATTTTACGCAGTATACTTTTGCAGTTATGCACTTGTTTTAATGGTAGCATTTTTCCAATAGTGATATTGTTTTGAGGAGTACAGCAACACCTGTTCCAAAGGTGACATATTTACTTCGAATTGTATTATTATTGTAATTTCTTTATATGTTGCTTTCAGATAGGTATTTTAAAATTTTTGAAAATTCATCTAGATAACAGCACAATTCATAGGAGCAATTTATTTCGTAAATGAACTGATAGTGTTTTCAAAAGTGTAGTATAATTTTTGTTCCATCATAAAAGCTCTTCTGAACAATTCGAAATGTGGCTTATCATTATAGTGAATGTAGTTCATCATTTATAATCTTTATCGCAAAAAAGTTTAAGTACTAAAATACGTTGTGGGTGATGGGTGTTTGTCTACAATAAATCATCATAGAACATTATGTTATATAGTTAGACTTGGAAAAAATAAATTGCATTGGGAATTAATATAAAATATACAAATTAATTACTTGAATCTGCCGCAATGTTGTTTCACGAAGTATGTTCATGATAAAATTAGCTCTTAATGTAATAACGAAACACAAAAAAAAAGTAAAACGTTTAAGTACTTGAATTATTCATCACAAAAACTTTTTTGGACTAAATTATTCTGATAATTCAAGATAAATTGATAAGCCTTACTCTATTATCATTAGAAGAATGGTTCCCAACCAGGGAGAATTCTCCCTTGAGGGATTTTCATAGCTTCAACTGGTGAACGACGTCAGTCAGACTGCACTTGGTTTCTAAATCAAACGCCTTCTTATTGAGGGTATGCATTCCCGAACTCTTTGATGAGAAGTTAAATTTATTTTGAAATCGATTTAGTTTATCAGTTGAGAAATTTATTGAGAATTTCAAGATGAAATTCTTGGTTTTAAAAAAAGATTTTCAAGCTAAAACAATATTTGAAGAGAAATCATTCACCGAAATTCGGTGTTTTATGTTCAAACCTTGACCTTAAAGACAGAAAAAACTATGCAATGTTTCTATTTGTATCAATTTATCTTTGTGAGTCAGGTTTCTCATTTATGTTACAAATGAAAGCGACTTAAAGTAATATATGGGGAATTGAAGGTGACTTACGCTTTGTCTTAGCAAAAGCAACTTCGTGTATCCAAAAATTTGTGAAAAATATACTAACAGGACTCTGGTACGCTTATACTAATTCTTTTACTAATATTAATTTAGTTATACGTAACTGAGATATTTATTAATTTCATTTCATTTAAATAACTATACTCTTTGTAAATAAATTATCAAGGTTACATATTTTCTCCACTCTCCACACTTTCCTCTCTTCGTTTCCATGGTTTCGGCAAATCTTTCTTTTACAATACGTGTTGTTAAGAAGTTGGAATATACTAGCGAGGGAAAAAAGAAATATTTGTCAAAATATGGTAGCAAAAAGGGAAAAAAGTATGGATAGTGGGGAAACTTTGAGACACCTATTCCATTTTCAAAGAGTATAGCCTTTTGATAGAATAAAACGCTGAAGCCATTGGTATATTATTTATGATTTTGTTGTGTTATTTATAAAACTCGTTAAAAATAATCTGAGTAAATATAGCGTAAATATGTTATGAGCTTTCAAAAGAGGGTCATGAGTTTCTAGTAACAATAAAGAAAAAAAAAAGGTACGGGTCAGACTAGATTTAAGTCCACTGCATTAGAATGTTTAATTAAATGATTCATTTTTCAAAATGGGAAAATTGAAATGATTTATCATCTAGAAAATATTATAATATTATGCATTATTATATATTATATCTAATTATTTTTTGTTAATCGCTGCATATTACATTCTGTTCTAACATTAGACTGAATTGTACATTTTAAATACGTTATATATGTACTGCCCATTTTTGTAAAACGTATTTTTCCTTTTTACAGAAATGATTTTCCTATTCCTTTAAATTTATGATATGTTTATCTAGATTTCTTTCAAATAAGTATTGTAATAAGTGTCTTATTTTGGTATTTTTTTAGTGCATCTTAAAGACTTTTTTTCATTGTTGTGCGTACCTTAATACTTTCGCTATTTGGTTTTTTTCATTTGTACCGTAATGGTCATCTGATTTGGAAATTTACTAGTATTGTAATGTGAGATTTGGAAAAGTAGAATTAAAATATTACTTATTATTAAATTTGAATTATATTGATTTATATTGATTCGAAATATGTTTTATTCTTAATAAGAAATACATTGATTATTATGAAGCTTATGTTTTACATATAAAGTTATGTTTTACATTATTATATTGTATTTTAACCTACTGCATATAGATTATACACTGTTCAGTGCCATTAGTGTGACCCCCACCTAATTTCGATGCCAATGTGAAATAACCAATAAAAGAAGGCAGATGGCAGCACATTGCAGTGGAACATATATAAAAGCGTTCGAGTTAATCGAAAAGCATTGCAATCGCAAGAGCTTAGCAGAAATGGAGCGAATTATCTGACGTCCTAAAGGGTGTGATCATTAGCTTTCTGGCCAAGAGTGGAAGCATTTGCGAAGCAGCTAATATTGTAAACTGTTCGCGAGCTGCCGTATATTGTGCATGGCAAAATCAGTGACGTCTCAAATGGGGTGCACCACGAGCCATAAATGACAGAGGTGAACGACGGCTGCGAAGAAATGTTCGGACAAATAAATGAGCAACCATTGAGGAACTGACCACACAGATGAACCAAGTGACTATCATCAGTGTCTCAGTGTCTCTTCAATGACAGTTCTAACGTTACTGCGCATGGGCCTCTATAGCAAACGTTTGTGAATGTACCTATGATGACATCCGTTCATTGGCGATCGTTCATCGGTGTTCATGTTTGCACACTAGTACTGCATTCGGATGTCCATTAAATAGCAACAAGTGGCTTTTTTTCCCCTATGAATCACGATTTATGCTCCATCGGCGTTGCGATGGCGTATACGATGTGAAACGTCTGGCATCAAACAACCTTTAACAATTGCTAGAAGGGTTTAAGCTGTAGGAGTGAACATTATGATCTGGTGAATATTTCTGTGGCATTCTCTGGGTGCACCCATCGCTGTAGAAGGCACGATGGATCCAACGCAAGTAAGCATCTGTCTTTGTAGACATTGCCCACCCTTACATGCAAACTATTTTTCTTCAGGATGATGGAAACTATCAACAGGATAATGCGCCAGCTACAAGCAGGATTTCTGTGCTCCCCTGGCCACCAAACTCCCTGGACTTAAACCCAATCTAGAATATGTGTGACCATCTCGATCGGGTTGTTTGTGTCATGAATCTTTATCCATGTAACCTAGCTTAGCTACGTAACAGCACTGGAGTCGGCAGGTCTCAACATTTCAGTAACCTAATTTACACTCTTCGTGCAAGTCTCGCAGCTGTCCGCTTTGCGAATGGCTGTTATTCTAGCTTTGGATAGGTGGTCACATTAATGTGACTGGACCGTGTAAATTTCATGATTTTAGTTGATATTGCATTTTAAAACTTCAGCGTAACAATAAATTGTTATATTTTTTACTTATAGTTTTTAGTTGACATGACTCTTTCTACCCCTTTACAAGATGAATGTTTAATTAGTTCAGCTTTAAATATCATATCTGACGTTTTATCAAAGGTAAAATATATTTTAAGTTACATTCTTTGAAGAATTTTAACTTGGTCTGAAATGCTTTAAAATAAATTGTTTTGATGTTCCTTTTTAGAAGAAAATATTTGATTGCTTTGCTTAAAAAATGTTAAGATGTTTATAAATATTTTTAACAGTTTCTAATTTTCATATTTAATTATAAGTCTAGTATGTGTAAATAATATATATATGTATTTATAGGTGATAGTATTTTTAGTGTTTGTTGTTTGTTTGTAGTTTTCCCTATTAAACTAATTACAAATTTATTTGAAATTGTTAATATTCTTATTTTTTTCCACTATTTTTCTACATTTTCACACATTTAGAATAAATAAAAAAGCTTTCGTCATTCCTAAACGACGTTTCGTCAAATGTCGTTTCGTCTCACTAAGCATTGTTCTCTACAGTAATTAGCAATAATCGAACTTTTCTAACATTTTTGACTGTTTACCATTTTTCTTAGGCAGTTTTGGACAAATAGTATATGTAGTAAAGATTAAAATCTAATAACGATAAAATATATATAACGTATATTGTAAAGGATACACTATAGCATTACTTAAAGTTTAATTGTGGGAAATGGTTGCTATTTTCACAAATTATGTTTGTCCAAAATATTGAACATTATTCATCATGACATTTCAGCAATCTCACAGAATCATACAAGGAGGAGTTTACTTACGAAAGGCAAATTAAAGTTAATAACACTAATGAATGTTAATTACACACAGATGAATATTAACTTTAAATGCTATACATTCTTTTTCGCTTAAGGTTTCGTTTTTGGTGTTATATTTTTAAAAAGTGATGTGCTCTCTCATTCTTTAATAAATACAGTAGAGTCTCGATTATCCGAGGTAATGTGAACCACGACAAACTGGGATAACTGAAAAACTCGGTTAAAGCGAGGAGTATAAAAACGGAAAGAAAAAGAGTAGGTATAAATGTAATATATTTAAGAAACACAAAATGTATACGAGTATACCACATACAATTCCTATTATTATTGGAAAGCTTACTTGAAAAAACTTAAAAAGTATACTTTGCGAGAATTAAAGAGTTTTTACTTAAAAAAAGTCCTTAATCGTCTTTTGTTTTACATAACTTTGGCGCTTTTCTGCAGCAATGTTTCGCCATTTTTTAGGGATAACAGGAAGGCTGGTGTGTTGCCTCTTTTTGTTGTTCTATATATTCAATAGCATTTTNTTTACACTTTAAATTTAAAATTTACAAATGTGTGTGTAAATATTTTCGTCCAAAATGAGTGGTTTCAAAAAGTTAAATCGGAGAATTTCTTCGAGAAAATTTCTGATACACACATGCTAAATTATATTCACAAAATACAAAAAAATGAAATAAAAAAGAGCAACATACACGATTATTTTTGTATTTGAATAAATATTTTCTTGGATGCAAAACCTGAGAAATAATTTTTTTCGCACCGTTGGTATGATAAATTTCACAGAAACGGAGAAATTAGGTTTTTATTTACGAGAAAAGTATTTTAAACCCACATAGATTTTGTACGAAAATTGTCCGCAAAAAAATAACAACTAATATATTTTAGTTTGCGGATAACAAAAAAAGGTTTCGCTGGCCGGATGCGGCCCCCGGGCCGCCAGTTGGAAACCACTGGTTTAGAAGATAAAATTCAGATTTATTTTTCGGTGGTTATATTTAAAAATTAAAAATAAACTACAACAAAAAAATCCCTGATATATTTGAAAGCTCGGTTAAAACGGAAAATCGGATAATCGGGACTCTACTGTAATTTCAATGCTAGTTAGAGTCTGCTTTTATAAAAGAATGGTCGCAATAGCTATTTAATCACTATTTCTTAATATTTTGAAAGTGTTTAATCTTTAATCTATGTTATTAGCAGCTTTAAAAAATTAAAAAAATGTTCTTGCTCACTTATTATTTTTCAAATAGAATTACATTGTTCCTAATTCAATTAAAATTTAAAGATTAAAACCAATAAAAAAATATAGTTACTTTTTTATTCTAGTTGTAGTCTAATTATGTTGTTCTGTTACTTAAAATATTATATAATGCAATATTTTGTTTCAACTATATTTCTTATTACTTTATGACAGGGTTCTTCGTGGATGACACGTAGTATAGCAGAAGAAGTGATAATTACTGTTGCTACAATTTTTGAATATTCCACACCTACATCAGAGATTTGTGATTTTTTCTGTTGGGTAAGAATAGGATAATTATATTCGTATTTTTATTGATACACTAGACATTGAACATTATATATATTTTTTTGCTTGGAATAAACTTTGAATATTATGTATTTCTTTTGTTAGAATTAATATAGAATATCATATATTTCTTTTGTTAGAATTAACATAGAATATCATATATTTCTTGTCTATTGTTTTGTTTAGTTTTGCCTGTTTCTTTTGTTAGTATTAACATTTATTTTGCTAGAATTAGCATTGAATATTATATAGTTCTTTTGTTAGAATTAACACGGAATATCATATATTTCTTTTGTTAGAATTAACATGAAATATAAATCTCTTTTGCTGGCTTTAATATAGAATATGATATACTTCTTTTGTTAGAATTATCAATAAATATGGTATATTTGATTTGTTAGAATTCACTATAAATATTATTCATTTCTATTCCTAGTATTAGCTTCGAATATCAAATATTTCTTTTGTTAAAATTAATACTCAATATTATTTATTTCTTTTATTAGAGCTTATTTTTCTGTAATTTTATTACCAAGTAATTAATATCAGATTACCTTTTCAAATATAGATTTTATACTTGCATTTTATTTTATTATTTGAAGAATTTTTAATGAAACTATCAAAGTTTTGAAGAAACTATCAAACCTCTACATCTATTCTGTCAATTTTTCTTTAATTAAGGACATTCTAATTAAATTAAAAAATTTGATAAAAATGTTTCATTTCATTCTTGCCAACTTCGAAATATTTAGTTTAATGCATTGCTGGCAGAATTAGTCTGAATATACTATGTTCCAAATCATGCTTGCTACATAATTATTTAATAAATGAAATTTTATCTTTTTGAAATAAAATTAGATCTTGAGAATTTTCTAGATGTAGCGAAAAGAATCTGATTAAATGACAAATATCTATATGATTAAAGCAAGTAGGAAATAGTATTTTTTGCAAACTTAAAAAAACAAAGCAACTTAATTATATTAATCTGGAAAATGTTTAGATCTGAAAAAATTAACCCGATTATTGCGTTACATACAAACCGGTTACTTTCCTTATAAGTTAAAGTACTTGTTTTTCAGATATAAATTCATATAATTTTGTAAAATTTGACATGTTTTTTTACCAACTCTAAGTGTTTTAGTTCTATAAAATGTGATATGTTTTTCATTAATAAACTCTTTCATTTTGTTTAAAATAACATATTTTTAAACTGAATTCAACAATTTCGTAAATCTCAAAATATTTCTCAACTATAAACTCTACAATTTTGTATTATAGAAAGGGAGCTTATAAAAATAAATTGAATAACACTTTTTAATAAATTTTCTATTTTAAACTTATATGCTGTTGATATATTCTGTTAGTTCCGTACTTATCAGTTAGATGGGCTGTAAAAAAAATATCTCCAATTTATTATTGTCCCCATTGTTGCTTAAATATTCGTGGTACTAGATACTACTGGTATTGTGATAATAAGTAATAGATGTTGCGGTAATAGTTATTTAACACATACCTACATAAGTGCAATAGTAATAGAAGGATAAATACAGAAATATAAATTTTTTTTTTTTTAGTTATGAACTACAAAATGTCAGAACTAAATAAAATTGGATCGCAATTTATGTGTTTTTTGAGCTAAAAAACATGCAGGGTATTTTATATCTAAAGTTTTTAAATTGCGTTTAAAACATAGAATACGCAATATATTTTATTTTCCAAGCTTACAGGTACGTTGAAAAAAGAAATTTAGTGGTGATTTTGAGCAATGAAAAGATGAGAAGCTTGGTATGCACAAAATCTATGCACAAAATTGAATCGTATTTTGCACACATGTTGGGCGTGGGGGTCCTCTTTTCTCGTCTCTAGTGATTTCTATATAGTTGGAATACAGTCGGAAATCATATTTGGCATAGGTTATCACACACTGGCTAAGCACAGATCATAATAGTAGCACAAGACTTAAACGGGAATTAAAGTTTTTTTTATTTTTTTTTATTTCCAATGAGCTGCACAATCGGTCTTGCCGATGAGCAGACCTAGTGCGTTCTCCAGAGGTGGTATCCACTCTTTCAGGACCACCACAATGGGTGAGATACCGTTGGTCGGTCATGTTAATTTGGATGTCTAGTTTCTGACGCACTAGGGCAGCACCGAGACTCTATTTGGATGCTAAAGTGCACTAGGAATTTATTTTTGCCAGAAATGCCAAGAGCCAATAAGGCACTCCAGGGATCTTTTACACTCCGCATAATCATACGACATGGCCGCTAGGGATTTTCTGCATCCCGAAAATCCGGTGTCTGGGCAGGGGATCGAACCCGCAGACTTGGGCTCAGAAGGCCGACGACAAACCAACTGCGCCACCCAGCCACGGAATTAAAGTTCCTATCGTTATAATAAATAGCAAAGGCCAATATATTATAATGGGGTTTGTGCTTCCTACAGATGCATTTTATAAGACTATATAGATCATTTAGTGGTAATTAATCAATTTTCATTTGCTTGTTTCAGCATTGCCGGGAAAACCCTAGATCTGTTGTTATCCTTGATATATTTACGCCCATTGTAGAAAAAATTCTGAAACATAACATGGTGAGTAATAATAGTTCTTTTGAATCTTATCGCAATATTAAAAAAATCTGAGTTTAAAGCACCATTTTACAGTATGATATTCTTCTATTTGTGTTAAAAAATATTGGTTTTACATTGAATATTTACATAATACTTAATTTCGAAACTAACGTTTTAACGTTACGAGTATCATATTTTCTTCTTTTCTTGTACGTGGAATTTTTAGTTTTAATTTATCTTAATAGCTATTACTTTATCAAACCACTTTATACAACGAAAAAAAATTGAATTGATAACATTTATGCTTTCCCGCCAATAAGAGATGAGGAATTTCGTTATGGTCTATGCTGTCGTCAAATTTGTTATGGTACTTAATTTTAGACATTCATGCTTTTCAGAAAAATTTTTTTGATTTTCAAACTTACAATTAAAAAAAGTATTAAAAAGAAATAATTTGAAAAAAAGTGCTATCAGAAAATTAAAATTTTGGAAGAAAAATTTTGAAACAAAAGAGCTAGAGAATTCTGAAATCATTGATTTTTCTACAGGTTTAAATAAATATTTGAAATTAGCTTGTGTAAAATACATTTAAAATAAAAACGGTTTGAGCACAGTATTCAAAACTTGCACAGTGTAAGGTTTAAAAAAGTATTTTGGGATAAAAAAATTACGTTTTATCTACAACTCGCATATTTGTTTATTTTAATATTCGTTTTTTTTTTGTTTTTAATAATATTCTATAAATTTCTCTTTGTGTTATTATTTTCAGGATTTTGGTAAACATTTAAAGACCCGGCTATTTGTTCAAGAATATATTCTAGCAGTTAACTGCCAAAACCGTGGAGATCGTATAATTAAAGAATTCATTGATGGGTAAGTATAACTTTCTACGTCATTGATAGTTTCATATAACATCAGTTGAATAATTGTTAAAAATATTTACTAAATAAAAAAGAAATGCACTTTAAAAATTATTTATAATAATTTTCTTGGTTTTCCTGATATTTTGTAACAATATTTCTAAAATATCAATATCGATAAAAATATTTCAAAAATAATTATTAGGCTACACTTTGAAAAGTTTTTCCGCTAGATTGCGGTCAGTTATTTGTGAAAGTATTTCAGCCACTGCCTGTAAGTTTATGCTCCTAAAACTATCATGATCTAATAAATGTCTAAATACAGGTTTGCCTGTAAATTATTTCTTGTAAATTGCAAAGGCACTAAACGTAAATTAATAGTATGCTCGCTTCAGTTTGGTCCTTGACATTATTAGTGACTCAAGCGATTTGTCAATCGCTTGATCAAATTAAAGTGACCTGTAAGAACGAGAAGTGGTGTAGTGCTGCCATCTCTCGACGAGTGAGAGAATTGGAAGTTGTTCTTTGGCGCAGGCTGGTACAGAAACTGGTACTTTTTGTTTGCAACTTGATGCTGCAAATTACCTTGGAAAAGGGTGTGACCCCTTAAATTGAGTTCGGAAGCTTTTTTTGAGTGCTCCTCACACTATTGTATTGATATATTTTGCTTTGGTTAAATTAATACAATATTAGAAAGCACTTTATTTTTACGGATATAATTGTGTGAGTTGATGAAGAGATTATATCTTTTCTTTACTTTGTTTTCTGACTTTTCAATATATTTTTAATAAATTTTTTAAAATATTTTTAAAAATATTTTATTTTAATAATTTTGTTCTTCTCTTTTCCTTAATCTTTATATTTTCCCCGTGTTTTCTCTATATTTTTAGCGTATATAAAGTAAATTTTAATCGTTAATTGATTTATAATATTTTTTTCTTCAGCATCCATGGTCCTGCTAGTATTTGTCCTCATCCTCGAGTGGTCTTTAATATTGTAGCCATTTGCGTAGCAGCAATTCAAACTATTTTTTCAAACAAAAGAGCGTAAGTTTTGTTGAAGTATTATATTTTTAAATAAAACGTGGATGTACAATCTAAATATTGGACTGGCAACTAAGTTCCTGCTTTTTAAAAAAAATATATTTAAAGTATTGGAGTATTCTATTTTTTTTGTCTGTTAGCTTCTTGTTTGACGTGAACTTTCTAGCAAAACATGGCTTAATCGTTCTTCATCGATCTGAACTGAATTATTAGAACAAGATGCCTCTTTGAGGCAAAAATTTTAATTTTTATACTTAGCATACCAAGCTCGAGTGGTTTTTCGAGCTATAGCACCACTCTATTTGCGTCAAAAATGTCACTAGTAGCCTTTACGGCCTTAAGAATTCTGACTAAAAGCAAAAGGAAGAAATGGTCAAAAATTCTCATTTTTCTCAACTTGACATTCCATTTTAATGTTCTGAAAACTATAACAAGTTAACTCAAAATATTGTCACGCATAGTGGCAGCAGCACTTAATGGCACAGAAGATTTAAAAATTTAAAAAACGGCAGGAACATAGTTGCTAATTTAATGATTTTGAATGGAAAAAAGGAGGACAAAGGTTTAGCAATTCAATTGCCTAAATGTCGCCTTTTCTTTATGAAATTAATTCTCGTATAATAAGTTTTTTTAATCAAAAAAAAAAACCCCACAAATTGTTTTGCGTACACTGTAAAAAATAGAGGTTCAAATTACGGTGAAAATTAGCAGCACTCAGTGTGCCGGTACTTTTAAATCCTTACTTTAAAATCCATTTTTACCGAAACATGTTAAGGAACAAAAAAAATCTGTACCATAATTTTTACAGTAATATTTACCATAAAACCAGTGAATCTCTCTAATTAAATATAACTGTAAAAATTTCGGTATGATATTTCATGGTAAGTATGGATTTTACCGATGATGCACCTGAAGTGCCGATGCTTTATACCGTAGTTTGATATGGTATTTTTTACTGTGTACAGAATTAAGTACAATGCAAAACACTTCCCCCTTAAAAATTATATTAAGACTAAGCGAATGATGAATAAACTATGAAACAAAAAGTTCTGAGTGACATTTTTGAAAAAAATTGCGTTCTCACAGAAATATTATTTTATTTTAGTCTTATTTAATCATTCAACAGTTATTTTGCTAAGTCATTAAATTACTCAAATATCGGTTGAGGAAAGTATTGACATTTTTTAAGTGTTTTCAGAGAAGAAGGTTTCAAGTAAATTTGGGAATGAACAAGAAAAAAATAACTATAGAGAGCCTATCTTATCTCGAAGGCAAATAAAAATGCTAATTGTAAGAACGCTACGACGCGAACAGTTCAAATTACTGTTTGATATTTCATCTATTGGAAATTGGGATTTAAAAAATATAGACAAAGTGTAATCTTTATTTCCTATTCTCAACGTATAAACGTTAAAGTTGATTTATTCCCATTTTCTGAAAAGTCAGTTCAATTGTTCACCTAATCAACTGTGCATTTATTTTGTAAGTTATTAATTCAATTTCAAATCATTTCTGATAAATGATTATAAATCATAATAAATAGCTCTATTTTGTATTTTTGTATTACGGCTTTAACTCATTATGACTAATGCTTTTATATCTTTAACTCATTGTGACTAGCACTTAAACACTTTTATATTTTTAACTTATTATAGCTAAAACTTTAACGCATATATATCTTTATCTTATTATGGCTAACACTCTTTGACACATATATATCGTTAACTCATTATGGCTAAATCTTTAACACATATATATCTTTATGTCATTATGGTTCTCAATAAGAGATATTAACAATCTCGTAATGACAGGATTGTAGTTTTCATTTTGTTTCTATACTTTTATTTATGTCACAATATTATTGCTGTAATGGACGTTAAATTAATTCTTTGTGTTCCTTTTTTTTAAAATTTAAATCGAAGTATAGATTTCATTATATTTTTTTTAAAATCACAATTAGAGTTTGCCGTTCTTAAAAATGTATAATTTAAGAATTTGAAACGTTTTGATATTTTTATTCGATTAAATGAAAATGTTTTTTTTTTAAGTTTAATAAATATGTAATGTTATTTTTTCCTTAAATATTTCAGTGAATTCTTGGAAGAAGCTAACCAGACTAAAAGTGATTTAGAATACATTAACTGGGAGACAAAATTAGATTGTTTTACTTACATTTTTTCTTTACTGTAAGTATTACATTTTATAAGTCATGCATTTGCATGTTTCTAAATTTAAATCAATCTGTTTAAAAGTGCCCAAATGAAATGATTTTTTAAAAAAAATTTATTCTGGATTTTTTTTTTCAATATAGAGTTGTTAGTTTGAAACCACTCATAGTAAAATTCCGGCCTTAGCTTTGCTTCACATTTTTTTAAACGAATTTCTGATCCATGTTTTGGCATCGCTGTTTCCGAATTTTAGGAACACAATACCTAAGCCCTTTGATGAAAGACAATATGCAGCCGATATCTAATAAAAGTTTTTATTGGATATCTGCATGTTTTTATGCAGGATGTTTCAACAAAAATCTTTTATCACACCTTATTACTAAGTGGGGAATCAATAGCTTAAATTCAAAAACAAAGGTTACTGGTGAGCTAGTTTAGTCTGCGGTAACAACGATACTCACTATGAGATATTCAGTCAATTCCACAAGCGTCTCGTACACTTAATCTTTCATGTGCCCCAGATTTAAAAATTTAGAGAGTTGAGGTCCGGTGAACGAAGAGGCCAAGTCACCGGTCCGGCAAGCGTTTTCGAATTAAGTTATTCAAACCAGTGATCTAAATCAAGCGATTCAGATCATTGTTTTTAATCAAGCAATTTGGATCAGTGAGGAATTGAGATAATCAGGAGATTCAAATCACTAATTTGAATACAGTTATTCAAATTACTATACGAAACAAGTGATTCGAATCAAAGGATTCGAATCAGTGATTCGAATCTAGCGAATTGGATCAGTCATTCGAATCAAGTGATTTAGATCACTATTCGAATCCAGTGATTCGTACAAAAGGATTTTACTAAGATATTCAAATCATAAGAAATCAATCAGATTCACATGATTTGAATGAGATATTCAAATCATGTGAATCCGATTAATGATTTAAATCGAGTGATTAGAATCAAGTGATGCTTTAAATAGAGTAACTCACATCACTGATTCGAATAACTTATCAAATCAATTACGAATCACGTGATTCAAATCAAATGCTTCAAAACACTATTCAGTCTAGATTCTAATTACAGCCTAGATTACAGTACACTTACCAAATGTCGATAGAGGAACGAATGCATTAAAACTTCAGAATTCTTTTAAGTAAATATATTTATCATATCGTTTGTATATTATTTTACATTTGTGTACGTTGCTAAATGCTATAAATACTTTTAATTGTAGTAATAAATAAGCAATTAAGGAAACGCATTACTATATTTTTCGCATTTATTTTTTGTACATGAATTAATCGAATTTTTTGGATAGAAATTCCTTAATAATTGTGTTATAACCTCTAATACTTTATGAGAAATTTTTAATTATGCATTACATGGTATTAATGTGAAACAAATCAACTAAAATTTAAAAACAATAATTCATTGCAATTTAAATAAATTCCGATAAAATTAACTGATTCGAATCCCCAAAGTGAAATAATTCTATTGATTCGAATCTGTCTAATGATTCGTTTTCCCCAACTCCATATGTAACCCTGTGTACCATGGTAGGGTTGGTCGTCTGAAATAGTTGAATAGTTTGGAATTCAGTTTATAGATATGGAGGCATCAGCAGGAAGTGTGATAAAAAAATAACTCTTTTATTCAAATACTTCTATGTTATTTGTGTTCGACTGAAACATATAAGGTCGTGTTTAAGATGAAATGAAGATATTCAATTATCGGAATAAAGGAGAGATTTTATTTATTGGAAGATATAAAATGTGATGCATGAAAATGCTGTATTTCTATTAGGGGGACCTGAAAGTAATGTCGTTTCGGTGCATTTCATATCTTTTATCAAGATTTTATTTTTAATCGATAATGTATTCACCCTCATTAGCAACAACCTTTCAATACCAGATCGATGATAAATAAAAAAAAAAGGAATCGGTTAAGACTAACGAATATTTAATGCGCCGAAACGGCATTACTTTTCAGTCCCCCTAACATATACATAAAATTAGATGAAAATGATGACTGATCTGCATTATCATTGGTCAGATAATTCATAAGGTATAGTCCATTTTTCCCATGTGAAGTTCCACACTTCTTTGAATAGCATCGACATAAAGTTTATTAAAATTGTAATTTTTTAAAAGAACAGTTGTAATTTTTATTAAAGTTGTAAGGTATTGCTTGCCTATAAAATAATTCCTTACCGCTAATTGAAAGGTATATTATATAGCAGTGAAAAAAAATCAGCGTAAAAATTTTAATCGTGTGGTGGGAAGAGCTTAGAAAGTGTTCAGGGAAAAATATATCACGTGGCCAACTTATAAAGCACTACGAATTCCTGGAACAAATAATTGGGGAAATGTTGTGGTTTTGATGTAAATTTTTAATTTTGTTAAAAAATTAATTCTAAGAATTAATTCTAACTATGCAAGACAAAATACTAATTTGTATTTAAAAGAAGTTTCGACTTGTTCATGATGGGCCAGCAAAGGGTTATGTGATTTCAAGATATCAAAATAGCATGCGTGCATACCGAAGTATTTCAATTTAAAGCATAAAAAGATTTTATTCAGCTTTGTTAAATTAAAAAAAATGATTTTTTTTTTTTAAAGTTTTCTAATTTACGTTTTTGTGAGAAAAAAAATTGGAGATTAGAGGTTGAAATGAATGCTATATTAATGCGAAATTTATAGAAATCATTTTCAAAATTACTTACAAAAGTCGACAAAAAAGTGGAGCTGCAAACATAAATGGCTGTAAAAATCACCGTTCAGAACACCCAACATGGATCTTGTTTTCCAATAAAAGCTTACAACAAAATGCTTTGGTAATTTTTACTCATTTTTGTTTATTTTTAAAGCTTGGAGCTCCATCAGTGGGCAATTTTTGTTTATTTTTAAAGCTTAGAACGCCATCAATTGAGAATTTTTGTTTATTTGCAAAGCTTAGCCCGCCATCAGAGCATATGGATGTAAGCATTCAAGCATGCTGCTGTAAACATTTGTATACGTTTGCAGTTCCATATAGCACACAGAGCTATCTCTGACCGAATTTTGTAATAAGTTAGAAAAAATATGTACACAAATCTTAGAACTTTTACTTTTTATTTTTATTTTAACACATTGGGCTCCGCGTGGCATCGATAAATGCTTCAGCTCATAAATTCAAGAAGGCCGTGTGGCTCTATGCTTTGACTATATGGCACATTACAATGTTAAACATATAGACATTAGAAATCCATAACTATTGTTACCTGATTATAATTATTAAAACTTATTTAAAACTTTTTGAATGATATGTTTTTATAGAGGCAGAAAAAAATGGACTAAAAATAGACTAAACAGAATAATACATTTATATCATTTTTCACTGTCCAAAGCAATTTCCTGTTGTTAAGTTTTAATTTCATCAGTTCTGGTTCTTATAAATTCAGCCTTGGCACTAATGTATCTGAAACATTTAAGAGGTCTTATGGCTTCTTAAGGAATATATCTTTAGAATGAGATCATTTTTTCACGCTTGTTCGACTTAATTGATTGAATTTAGTGTCTTTAAGTGCGTCATAAGAAAATCGTTTCATTTAAAAATAACCTTTTGTTTAATAAAAAATATTTGAGGTTTTCGAAGGAAAAAAGAAGTAAATTAGAAGATAGAAGCAATTAATGGGACTAGTGGGCTCTGTCCTCTGCTGACTACTATCATAAGATTACTCAATAAATGAAAGATAAGCAATGATAATGAAAATGTCTCAACAATGATAAGAAAATGGCTTTTAGTTTTGATCCTTTAATTTTGAATAATATCTGAAAAGATAAATATTATAATAGCAAAAGAATAATGCTAAGAAAAGATGATTTATGGATATTACAGAATAAAAGGTTAAAAAACATAATATGGACATAAGATAATGGCTAATATGTTAGCAAATGAGCAAAAAGGTTAGCAAATGGGCAAAATGATTCGTTTCATTTGCTAGCATTATTCCTTTCTTAAAACATGACTTCAATTATTTAACGAAAAATAAATTGCCTGTCAAAATTTATTCCTCAATTTCGCTAACAAGATAAAAAAAAAGCAGGTGTATAAAGAGTAATTCAAAAAAATAATACGTAAAAATTTAAATATAATTTCAATATTAAATTATTTCATTATATATATAGTACTTTGTAATCCTTAACTTTTATAAAAAATTTCAAAATCTATGTAAAAGTGAAGCAAAATTAATTATAGACATTAGGGGTTGCGAAATAATATTTAACAGTAAAAGGAATAAAAACTCTAAAGAATTACAATGAATAACCACTTAGGAAGCTGGGTTGAAAGCATCAAAATTTGCTTGATTGACAGGAGAAACAGAAGAGTTGAAAGATGACTGTTGGAAGTACTTCAAAATTTCATTCGGCAATCAAACTGGTTTTGACGTTTTTAAGCTCATTAGTTCCTTGGAAATTTGACCGATATCAATAATGCTTTTTTTAATATTAATTAGCGTTTTCTACTAACATGTGTATTTTACTTTTTGACAAGTATTCTAAAAATATATATTTATGGTGGTGGCTTATCTGTATTTGCATAAATATTTATTAATTAAGTAAATATTGATAACACAATTTAAATATATACTTTGCACTTATTTTGTTTAAGTAAACACTTTAATCGTTTTAAAGAGTATAATTGAATAGAATATATTTAATTTAACTTAATAAAACACTACAAAATCCAATTTTATCTAAAAACCATCGACTTCAGATATAATACGTCAGATAATATCTGATTACTTAGGTAAGAAAAATTTTTGTAGGTATTTCATAAAATTATTCACCTGTCACCATTTATGGTATATAATTATTATGGGGCATAATTAACTACTTATTATGGTATATAATTAATTTCTCTCAACCAGTCACAACATTAATATGTAGTTTATTAATTTTTGCATACAGACAAATTTTGAGTAAGATTGGCTGGATAATGATTTTTCAGATTGCAATTGCAACTTGTTATTCTACCGGTTCAAGTTACGATCATTGCTTTTGATGTATACATTACATTACTTAAAAGTAATGTATTGAACTTAGTACAGTACGCAATCATGAAAAAGAACCGCCTTCAATAACTTTTGATCTAATTGCCGGATTTTCACGTTCTAGGACTCAATCTTAATGGCTCGAGGAGTTGACTTCCAATATGCTAATTAATTAGAGAAGACGATGTCTTAAGTTGCGAAATCAAGCTCAAAACCTTACTTGTTCTGAATAAATGTACCTTTTTTTAGACGGATTTGGATTCTTGATCCAAGAAATATGGGGGGTAGCCGCATTCTGGGAAACATGGTCCTATTAGTTTGGTCAGGAGAACGGTTCAAAGCTTTGAACTTTTAATATTAGTTTTATTTTTCACGTCTTTCACCATTTCTCGAGAAATTTTTAAGTGAATTGAAAAATTTTCACACGCAGTTATTAAATTCCTTTATTCAAAGATATTTCCGTGCAAAAAAAACTTTTGGGAAAATAATTTTCATTTTTCATTATTTTATTTAATAATAATCGGAAAAATTTTGAAGTGTAAGGTAAAAATCTTTTACACCATTTTAAAGAATGTAATGTTAGATGGAAAAAAATACAAATTTCAGTGAAATTGGTTGAAGAGTTTCTTAGAAATCAAATTTAAAAAATACGACTTTTTTAAAGGATTGATAGATTTGATCCGTTGGATCCGGTCAAAAGTTATTTAAAGTGGCACGATCTTTTCAGCACTTTGTGCAACATATTACATTGTGTACTGTTGTGATTTATTTATTTATAATGTTTGTATTATTTCAGAACAACGTTCGACGATTGGCGAGTGCATATAGCTGAGTTATTACAACCTATTCCCTTTCATGATGAGTAAGTATATTTATGAAATGTTAAAAAAAGCACCTTCTGACATTTTTATAAAATATTATTCTGGCAACAATGGAAAAAATTAATATTTTATATTTCATATTAAGCATGCTGAGAGCTGTGTTGCAGCAATTATTTCTTTCGTATAACTTGTATATACCAATCTGAAGTTGGGCTGACTTTTCAAATTATTCAGTTCTTTATCTATCACCTGCATCAACTCAAACCAATTTTTAATTTTATCAAACTAATAAGAAGAACGTTTTAGAACAGGAATTTAGGAAGGGAAAACAATTAAAGATTTAAGTTCTGAGTGACATTTTATTGCATTTGAGTAAAATAGCTTTAAAGTTCATACTTTGGAAGAATAAAAAAAAGTTTATGTATTTTATTTTTTCTCCGCAAGTTTTCAATTGATGGAATCTGTAGATTTAAAACTATCATTACTTCTTAGCGTTCTTGTTTTTGGCGTTTTAATAGAGTGGTTTTGAAAAGCGTTACGATTCTTTCTAACACTAACATCAAGCTATTTAAGCTTCTCAGCTTATACGTGAAAATTTCTTCACAATTTCAGTATCGTTGAGAAGAACAAAATAAGGTTTGTTTTATGGTTAAAGTAAGACTAACTCTAAGCAAAATCTCACTATTGTGTTGGTAATATTCTATACCAACTGTTGTCATTATGGTAAATGTTGTTAACTGTTTATTCCAAAATAGGAGTCTTTAAGCCTGTATATGCGGTCTTAATTCTTGTACCAATATTGATTGAAAACTTGTTTTGTTTGGATCTCGTTTAAACGATCAACTGAATTCTTAACCCATGGATGATAGTTGAGCTTGTTCTACTTTCCATTCAAGCTTTTTCTTTCATAACCAATTAGCTTCTAAAGCTTCCTGACGTTAGCGAGTGGGCAAATAATCATTTAATTTTAATGTCAGTTTCCATACATTCTAATCTAAATAAATTGATCTATTAGAATCCATTTGTGTTGTCTTCATGTAAGTTTGATTTTTATAACTTTGAATGTGAACAATGCGCATGCGTAGTTTTATAATACAAACAACGAGTAACTTTAAGAACTTGAGTAGTGTCAACGAATCATTCAATTTTTTGGAGAGAGACATCCCTCCAAAATATTGGATTCAGGAACTGGGAACGTAGAAACAGGCCTTTTCATCCAATACAAAAGCACTCAAACACCACCTTTTAGTAATTTTATTCACATTATAATAGTACTATCTGCAAAACTTAAAAACTTTATAAAATATGATAAATCTCTGGAAAAATAAGATAATTCTCTAAGAACTTTGATTTTTTTCTTCGAATTTTTAATTTCAATTTAATTTTTAATTTCAATTAAATTTTTAATTTCAAAATTGTCTCCAAAATAATCTAAGCTTTTTAAATTTATTAATAAATGTTTTATGGGTAGTTTTTAAATATTAGTTTTAAAAACATGACAAAGGTGTCACGATTTAAAGTCTTAAGTTTAAAATATTAATAACAATTATTATTTTTATTTCAGTGCTCTGGCTTGCGTGAATTTTACATCGTAAGTACACAAATTCATTCATAGATTAATTATATCTCACCGTTGTGGTAATGTGATAAATTATTTTAAATCATTCAATCCTTTCTTTTTAGAAAAATGAAAGAAGTGATGCGATCATTCGTTCAAGATGACAGATGCCAGGTGCATCAGAATCTAGTTACTGTAAGAGATGAAAAAGTTGGTTGGCTTGATATATATTGCCTGGGAAACGTTGCCTGCGATGATGAAGGTGACCTCTGGAGTTTGATGGTAACTAAATTTGAATAATTAATTAATTTAAACAATGTTGCCATCTTTGAGAAACAGTAGCAGTTGGTCAGAAGAGTTCCGGCTCTTCAACTATTTCATTTGGTTTCATTACTTTCAGTTCTTAATAATTAAAATAAATAGATAAAGAATTATACTTTTCTCATTATTTAAGTTAATTAAGTTCTTGTTATCTTGTTCTTTAAAAAAGTTTGGAAACTGTTAAATATTTCGAGAAAAATACATCGGATCGAAAAAGAGAAGGAAGCCCCATTCAATATTTTTAAGAGACATCTAACGATACTAAACTCTATCTTTCACCCCCAACCTTGTGAAGTGGGGGGCAATTTTGGAATCTTGAATATGAATCCTATTTTTTATTGTAGGCTCGGATTCTCTAGAAAAAAGTAACCCTTTTTGAGTAACAGGTTTAGGTATTTTTTCACACATGGCGCTGTAACAGAAAAAATTAAGTTTTTCAAAATGTTAATTAAATTTTTTAAACTGTTAAAAATTAACTAGAGACCCATCGAAAATAAAAATAAATAAAACTAAAAAGGCTTCGGTATTTTTTTAAGGGTAAAAAAATCGTTACATGTTTTTTAACGTATTTATTTGTAGCTTATTAATCTAAAATAAAAATAAATATAACTAAAAACCTCTTGGTATTTTTTTCGAAATTTTTGTTGTTGTTTATAACGTGTCTATTTTTATCTTCTTTATTTGATGGGTCTCGAAATTAGTCGTTTTAAGTAGCTTGTATCTCATTTAAGTTTCCTCGGTCACAGTACTATCTGTGAAGCGAAATGCAGAAACCTATAACTCAAATAGAATTGCTTTTTCTGAAGAATCCAAATCTGCAATGGAAAATAAAGGTTCATATTTAAGATTTCACATTTGTCCTCCACCCCATACCTGGGGGGATGAGGGTTAAATATCGAGTTAGGATAGTTTTTAAAAATATTGAATGTATCTAGTTTCACTTTTCGAAGCAATGTATGTTTCTCGAGATAATTGACTGTTTCCAAACCTTTTTTTACACTTTACATATATCATATTAAAAAATACTTTATTCTTTCTGTTTTAGCAACTAATTTTACATTTTTATTGTTTCCATAGTTTAAAAATCATACGTCTTTACTGCTTTCGTTATTGAAATATTATATGCCTTTACTGTTTTAATGACTCAATTATTTTACAATTGTTTTTGATAGTTCTCTCAATAGATCTTTTGATAGTTTTCTCAATTTCTTTGATATTTCAAAATGATGTACGTCGTTTCTATTTTGGTAGTTCAAATATACGTCTTTACTGTTTCGATAATTCAAATATTATAAAGTAGGAGTAACGTATAGTAAGCAGCTTATGAAAGCAAGTTAAGCGAGCATTAAAGATGTATGTCTATACTGTCCCGAGAGTTCACCTATTACACGAAACAATTCTTTCACCTATTATACTTAATAATTCAACACTTCGACATGTCTAATATTATACGTCTTTACTACTTCAATAGCTCAAATATTGCATTTCTTTAATGCTTCTATAATTCAAATATTATTCGTTTATACTGTTTTAAATATTACATGTCTGGAATATCTGACACTTTTAGTCAATATTTAGTTGTCTAGGATACAATATTTAAAAATTGAATGATAGTATTGTATGTCTTTACTTCATCACATCAAATATTGTGCATCTTACCGGTTACAATAATTTTTATATTAATTGTTTTTGAATAAAGTTAAACAATGTAAATCAAGGACAAAAAATTAAACAAATAATGAGATTAATAAAAAAAACTGATTACCTGCGCGTTGTTCACATTTTTCAGCTTTATTCACGTGTAGCACTAAGTATGCTCTATTTTTATTTGGATTATAAGTCTCTAATTCCGATAGTTCAAACATTATACACTTCTTAACTTTTTTAATACCTCAAACATAATATATCGTTGACTGTTTTAATTATATTAAATACGTCTTACGTTTCAAATTAGCGCATTCAAAAATTTAACAGGAATTGGGGAAAATATTACTCCAATAAAATAAGAGAGAAATTGAAAATTAATCCACCATAATTGTAAAATAATTTTAAGTGATAATCTAAGTCTTAATAACTACAAGTAATAGCGTAAATTAAATAAAAGATAAGATAAGCTCTTCGTTGTTGGAAGCTATTGCTTGCAGTTATAGCCTATATCGATTTAAAATAAATTCAGTCTTTCGACATTATTCTATTTGAACAAAAATTATGTAAGCTATGATTGCTAAATAAAATAGCTTTTTTTCAAGCTATTTCATTTAGCTATCTACCTTTCTCCAGTTTAAACATTTTAATAATTTTCAAAATGTCACTATTAACTTTCTAGTGTATCGCATTCTGCATAGACTCTAAAGTATAAATCTAATAAAATACTTGAAATTAAATAGCACCAAGAGTATCGCGTACTAGAGCTTAGATACTTAAATACAATCTCAGAAAAAACTGACGCAACAATATACTTGTTGCATAATACGGTACGAATTCGCTGCAACTTAAACATGTATTTACCTTAATAAAATTCAAAACTATTTTCCCTACTTTAGATTATAGCAATGTGTTTGAGTGAAATGATATATCATATTTATGATCATGATACATCATGATGAATATGATATGATTTAAATGAGCACCACATTAAGGTTGTAGAGTATTCGAACGATCTTAAGGCTCGAAATGGTCGTTGTAGTCTATGTAAAACTTAAAGGTTAGCTTTATCTAGACAATAGAAGCGAGCGTCATAATTATTTATGTGACTACAGAAAGTAGATGGCGCATGACTTGATTAGGCCTCTTGTTAAATGTAGTAATTATAATGTTGATTTCACGATCACTGTTTTATTGTTGGTGATTTTCAGCTGGATCGATTGATCACTTGCTGCTTCAAGAGGCGGAAGTTCTTGCAATCACTAGCCAAACAGCAACTGGGTCCGTGTCTGCTGCGCGCCTTAAGGGAAGACGAAACGTGCCAAAAAACGTTGTGTGCCTTGCTGGAGATGAATGTAGTGGACAACAAAGACCTCCAGCTGCAAATCATCACCACCCTTCAGAGTACCTCCATTGGAAAGAGACACTATGCTACTCTGTGCGAGAAGCAGATGCATTTGAGACAGCTGGTAGGTTCAGTCGAATGAAAATATTGAGTACCCTCGTAGTAATGTCACTTATTTAGAATACATCTCACTAATGACTGATATTATAAAACTCATAGCGCAACACTGAATATATCATAATGCATAATCATAACTGAACTGTTCGGAAATGGGTGATCACTTTGTTTTAGAGCAATAACACACCATTTTATATAGTTTGTCTAAAGTAAAAACTCCCCTAGCCGTCTGGACCCGTGGCGGTGACTATGGTAACGAAGTATAACTATTTCAAGTAGGGGTGTGGGATAACTGTTTAGGATAGGTTTCAGGGAGAGAAAGGGAATCTTTTTCTTCTGTCTTCGGTGTTAGCCCTAAAGTGAAGAGAAGCTACCCTCCCTAAAATGCGCTATTCTTGTTTCCATAGCAGCAGCCTCAGACTTTGTGGCGCGGGGAGTTCTTACAGTAGACAAACTATAGACTGGTTGATTTTGGGTTCTGTCGCATGCATCGCTACGCAAGTCGTTCCTCAGGTGCAGGTCCATCCAACAGATGGTACTTGACTCAATAAATAGCTGATTATTGTGTATCCCCCATCTAAAGTACGGTAGTGTCTTATAACTTTTAATTAATTCTATCCATATTCTCATTAATAAAAAATCAGATCTGTAATTAAATGAGGACCAGCAGGAACAATGGGTGCAGCGCATGACCACATAAAGAGCTCCATTTTTTAAATTATAAAGAAATACTTTCAAGTTAAGGTTTCACTTTAACATAGAGCTATGAAAAGTAACTTTATAACGCAGCTTGTTTGAAGATTTGATTCGCGCTTCTTCTGTAGAATGTTATTCCTCCTTATTATAAATATATTAAAATACTATATTAAACTAACTGAATATTTCAACTTTGGTAACAGACCGAAGTAAATTGTTTATAAGGGAGATTTAGGACGTTTGAAAATCTTATTAAAAAAACTATCCTTAATTAAAAAAAAAGTAGATTAATTTCCAATATTCTTATCATTTTGCAACACGACGAGTGATTCTTACCATTAAAATTTANAATTGTTTATAAGGGAGATTTAGGACGTTTGAAAATCTTATTAAAAAAACTATCTAAAAAGTAACTAAAAAGTATACTAAAAAGTAACTATAACTAAAAAGTAGATTAATTTCCAATATTCTTATCATTTTGCAACACGACGAGTGATTCTTATAATTAAAATTTATAAAATTGCTATTTTTAGAAATACATTTTAAATGGGGAAATTATTTATTATTACGGATGTTTGATTGATATTCTTGAAGCTATTGAAAAGCTTTAAAATCATTTACTTAGAAAATCTTGCAGCTCTATCAATATAACAAGGAACGCATGCACATTAATTTGATAATTTTCTTTAATGAGAGCTACTGTTACAATGAAACGCAACATAAAAATACTTTTCTCGTTCGTATTAAAGAGTTTTTTTATTAAAAGAGTATAAAAACATTTATTTATTTTAAACTTATTGTGGTGTGATTAGTTCTACCAGAAATGTTGACACTTATTGAAAAGTAAAATTTTTTTGTGAAATTTTATATCTACATTAATGGACAAGTATTATGCGTGATTAGCTCTCATAAAAATAATTTTCACAAAGTTATAAACAGTTTCCAAAGATTTTAAAAAATACGATTAGTTTTTTACAATGCATTTTTAACTCACATAAAAGTAATTCTTTTATGCAGCATATTTCTATTTGGATTTAAAGTCAAACGAAGTGTTTTTGAAGTAAGGTAAAAAAAGATCTATTAGGCGAATATTTTTTATATAATGTTTTTCTTAAATCGATATTTTCGATTGTTTTACTTAATCGTTGGGCATTAATAGGTTACTATTGAAGAAAGCGAATTTATATGCATTTTTCTATACAGTTATACACAAAAGAGTATTTTTTTGAAACAATGTTTTGCTAATAAATGATCTATATTATAATTATAATGTTCGATAGAATTTTTTTCTTTTCTATTTTAGCAACAAAAGGGTGGTCCGAAAAAACTCGCTTTGCCTTCCAAATCTACTGTAAGATTTTTTTAAAATTTTTTTAATTTAATTTTTTTTTACATAGATTGAATTAGAAATACTTTAATTACTAATTGCTGTGATTTTAGGATGCAGACGTATCCCGCCTGTTGAGCAGTGGTTCTTTTGGAGATTTGGAATGTTTATCTCTAGCGTTCACCCAAGTGACTAGCGCATGCGCAGAAGAGCTCATTAAACTTGAATCACTTCGTTACCTCAACCTGTGGTCGACGCAGGTAAATTTTATCCTTCATAACGACAATTGAGATAGTTACGTTATTGCACAATAATAACACTTGATAGAGTTCCAATTGAACTATATTATCGTGAGATTCTACTAATAATATAAATAATATAAATTGGCACATGAATTAGCATCAATAATGTAAATTGGTATCAAATAATTAAATAGGCATCCAAATTGAATCTTGTCTTTCAAATCAATCCTTTTTGAACTATATAGTTCAGTATTTTAAGGTGCGGATAAATTAAATTTGTTTTACTCATTGACGAAATAAAATAGATTACCGAATTATTATTATAACTTATAAATTGGAATCAATAATATAAATTGGTATCAAATAATTAAATAGGCTGCTAAGTTGAATCATGTCGTGCAAATCAATCCTTTTTGAACGATATAGTTTAGTATTTTAAGGTAAGGATATATTAAATTTTTTTTATCCATATACTAAATAAAATAGATTACCGAATTATTATTATTATAATTGTTTTGAATTCTGGCTAAGATCAAACAGGTAAAAATTTGCAGGTTTTTATCTTTAAAACTTTAGATTTTGTTTTACAATTTTTATCTCAGCATTGCATCTATTAAAATGTGGAAAAGGCGAAGAAATTATAAACTAAATTCTAAGCTTGTCTTCTCTTGAAGATTGATTTAAATAAAATAATTGTGTTATTATTATCTTGATTTTAGAAATTATATCGAAGAAAAACTGAAAGGATATTTTTCTAACCATATAATAAATTCAATTTTCTAAGTCAATTTTGATACATAAAAGGATTGAAAAATTAAATCATTAATCATAGTCCCCTGATGAAGTACTGTTTTGCAAACACACATTTATATTTTGATTTTAATTATTAAGATTTAATTTGCGTCTTATTTTTATGATATTTTTCTAATAATATAATGTATTTTTATTAATTAAAATTAATTTATTTTTCAACTAAATACTTATGATATTTATAATAATGTATTTAATGGTTAGAGTAGAGTTATTAGGAATTGCCTATAATTTCAATAATTATAAAAATTTGTATTTTGTCTTCATATGATAAGGCTAAAGCAAAAAGATTGACATTGGTCTACAGATTATTGCCGAGCATAATTTTAAAAATAATTTTCAGCAGGTGGATGACTAAATGGAAAGAAAAATAAGTTAATTATAATTAACGAAATTGGTATTTCATACTTTCAACACACCAGTCTCTGACATGTTTAAATAGTTGAAACTTTTAAGCTAAGTTTCAAATATATCTTGCATTATTAAATTATTTAATTCAGCAATTTTTTTAATTTACATTTTCAGTTTTCTTTAATTTAAATTTTAAAAAAGTATTATTTCCTCAAAAAATTTTTGATTTTATTTTATTCATTTAATATTTAAAAAGATTTTTAAATTATAGTTTGTTTTTCTCATTATTTTGAGATCAAACTTTCAAGGAAATGATAATAATTTTGTTTTAGCCACCAGCTTAGTGTTCAAAATGCAAATAAATAAATGAAATTAAAAAAATAAATAAATAAAGTAAAAAAAATAAAATAAAAATAAAAAAGGCAAATAATCGAATTTTTGATAGGGCCCATCATACGACTTTAAGGTCATTAGAAAAATATATATGAATCAATCTTCTTACAATTTTAAATTCTAATTTTTTAATAATTTCATATGAATACAAATGAAAAAGAATATGAGTTTCAAATTAAGAGGGTTCCCAGTTCAATTTGCTTAAATTATTTTATTCATTTTAATTCGAGTATGTAGTATCGCGCCCACATTCAGAACATGTTTTTAATTTTTTAATGTCCTTGAATAAAAAAATAAGGAAATAATGAAATTTTAAATCACTTTTAAATTAATGCACCCTAGTTCATTTTGTTAAAATTATTTTATTTATTTTAGTTCGACGATACGGGATTGCGTCTACTTTCAGAACATCTTCCCAATTTACAAGTGCTCAACCTCTGCGAAACAAGGGTTACAGATGGAGGATTGGCTACACTTGCAGGTTACTGAAATTTTTATTCTTGTTGTTCTGCAATGCCTTTCTTGTTTCTTTTTATAGAATACAACATATTTTCAATTTTTTACTGTTTTATTCTACCTATTTTTACACTCTTTTTGATTTGGTTGCTTGCATACTCTATACATCATAACTTAAATTTTTTAAAACTTTTTCTTGCTAATCATATACTATCAATTTAGTTACTGTACTAGATGTACTATTACTTTATTTCCAGTTTTATCCTTGGTATTTATTTTATTTGTATGATTTCAGGGACTCACCATAATTAAAACGTTTTCCAATTTTGATCCTTTATAAGCTATAATTTTGATATTTTTTGATGTAATGATATTTTGCATGAGTATATATATATAATATGTATAATACTCATCTATTCTTTTTATTATATATAGTGAGCCATTTCAAAAACAGAATATTCCTAATCCAAATGTTGAATTTTAATATTGAATTAATATTTTTATTTAGCCCTAAAGTGAAAATGTAATTGCAATTATGTATGAAATAGTCAGATTTCAATAATTTATTGTGGGTCATTTCAAAAGCAGAATATTCCTATTCTAAATGCTGAATTTTAATATTGAATTTATATTAATATTTCTTTTACTATAAGGTGAAAATGTAGTTGCAATTATGTATGAAATAGTCAGATGTTAATTATTTACAGTGGGTCATTTCAAAGGCAAAATATTCCTATTCTAAATGTTGAATTTTAATATCGAATTAATATTAATATTTTTATTTAACCATAAAGAGAAAATATAGTTGCAATTATGCATGAAATAGTCAGATTTCAATAATTTATTGTGGGTCATTTCAAAAGCAAAAAAATTCCTATTACAAATGTTAAAATTTAATATTGAGTTAATATTAATATTTTTATTTAACCATAAAGTGAAAATGTAGTTGCAATTATGTATGAAATAGTCAGATGTTAATTACTCACCTCGACTTGGCTTTATAAAAGTTCTTATGATTAAATTTTCAATCGTGGTTTTGAACAATATGAGCTCGATTTCAATGGTCAATGGTATGACGTTTAATATTGTTTTTATACGTTTGTGTGGTCGGGGAAAAAAACTTAATTGAGTAATTGTTTGTATAATACGAACGATTTTAAGCACTTAAACAGGAATCCTTAAAAATAATTTTTGCATCCCTTAATATAAACATATTATGAATTAATATTGCTTATATATATCCACGACAGTTAGTTTTTTTTAAAATGATGACAATTGAAGTAAATGATTGTTATGAAAGCTTTAATTAAGAAGCATGTATATATTTACAGTATTTTTAAGCTCATGTTAGCAATATTGCAACCATGATCGGCTAGCTCGAAATTCGATGTTCAACTAACAAGAGGAGAGGGCGTTGTTGAAATTAAAGAAAATATCTAATGAAAGTTTCACTTAAGACCGAACAAATATGAAATAAACAGAATTAATTCCTGTGTTTTAAACTACAGCGTGTTCTAAATTAAACTGACTAGTTTAGTTAGACCCTTTCCAAAAATTAATAATTGAAAAAAAAATAATGTTAAGAGAACAATACTTGCTGCATATTCATGCAACAAAGTATATTTTTTTTCGTTCCAGTATTCTTGGTCTTATATGATATGTACCTTCAACGTATTTTTTATAGCGGTTTTGTTCATACAAATTTTGTGCTCTTTCTTTGATTGATGGATTTTTCTGATTTTGATGGAGGAATCAAAAATATCAATGCGACTTTCCTATTTTGAAAGATTTCAAAAAAACGTGATGCAATTTTATAAAGTGTGTCTTTGACTCAGTGGTTCACTAAAGAGCTATCTGNACCTATCCACCAGCATGTAAGGTTGTCATTCTGGGGCACTGGCCCTTACTTTAATAAAATTATATTATGATTCCTGCATTTTCCTGTATCTTTTTCAAGAAGCACCGGCCACACTACGAACTTACGATGTTTAGGCTTTCAAAGCGTATCATATATATATATATATATATATAATCTTAATTATTTTTTAAAAAAAGAATCTTTGAACTTCCAATCTATTTTTGGACACATACTGAAAGGTAAAAATCATGCATAGCAAAACGAGATAAACGATTAATTCTTATTTCTGAAATTTTTTTTTTATTGAGGAAAACTGACTCAAAGCGTTTTTATTTATTTATTTATTCTTCATTTCCATCTACTCCTCAGTGACGGAGTTTCATTTTGGAATAGCAGAATTTTCTTTCTCTTTCGACTCAGAGTACATTCAATGCCAGTCAAAAGTTTCGCCAGGGCAGAGCTCAAAATAGGCAGTCCGCATTTTTTTTTTATTTTTTATCACGGTGTTAACTTAGCATGTACGTTTAAGAAAATATACAAATAGTGTTTATGAAAATGAACAAACAGACTCGAAACCCGCGTTGAAGAAACTGGACTTAGCTAGAAATTTGAGTAAGAAAAAATAATTTAATTTAGAGAATGAAGATAGCATTTCATTCCGTTCTTTAAACTTATGTCCTTGGCATTTGAAGTAACAAGCAAATAATTTATATTCGTAATGATCAAAAACCAGACAAATTTGCATACATTGGTTTAATAAACACCTTTTCAAGAGAAAGGGTGATGAAAAATTCATTGTTTAGCATTAATAAAGCATATTTTTTTGTATGATGCCCAGATTCTACAAAAAGCATTTCAAGATATATCCATTCTTCAAACTCGCATTTCTACCTCTATGCATTTTTTAAACGTATATTTTGACCTACAGTCAACTTAGGTAATGTACACTTCGAAATTCTATCTGCACTGATTTGCCTCTTGGCTACCGCGGTTTTTTTAAAGCTTTTTTTTTCTTATTTTTATTTATTTTCAATTTTTTTGTTAGCAATTTTTAATTTTAAAAAAAAAATCAAATCTGTTTTGGCTTCTACATTCACTTCTGCTGAGTCTAGAGCAGTGTTTCCCAAACTTATGACTTTTGTGTACCCTCTCTAAATTTTTCGTAACGCTGTGTACCGCTAATAAAAAAATGAATGTACTTTTTACTATAAAAATCAGACAAGAGTTAAAAATCACAACTGGCTGTTGACACCCCTAATTATTAACTGTTAACTCTGCAAAAAATAGATATAGTAATCATAAATTTTCATGGCTAACTTTGTTTTTAAATAAAATTTTTTGAAATTTTCTTTTGTTGCAAGATATTTCGCATAAGAACGCGTACCCCCTCTAAACTGTTCCCACACTTTGGGAAACACTGGTCTAGAGAATTGGTGCCTGTTCTTAAGCGCTTGAAACATGTCAAATTTTTCCACTTATGTAATTCGTTCAGCGAAAGAAGTGTATGCATTATCGAGCATGCCAAGACCCGACTTAGCCTAATTGGGACCCGGGGGAAAAATCCCCCCCCCCACTGCTTCACTCCCAGAGGAGTAATTTAGCCCTAATATTTCCTCTAAGATTTTACTACTTCAGTAATGAAGAACCGAACTTTATGGAGGTATTTGAATTTTTCCCCTCATTATAGATACATAACAAGAAAATTGACTGGTACTAAAATAGCTATAAAGTCCCCCCTCCCCACCTCCAATCGCCAGACGAAATATCGTTCTGTTCATTTTATTGATTTTCTGACGATTCTATGTCCATTATACGAAGGCAGTGTCCGATATGCAGTTTTCTGATTGTTAACTTAGTAATCTAGCTGTAAAAAAAATTCATATCCTTGCTGACATTAGGGCAGAATTTAGCTAAATTTTCACAATTACGATAGCTCAAATAAGCCAATCACTAGCCTCTATTTTTGTAAATATATAGCATTGGCATATAACGGGTACCCCTATATGCGGGACTATAAATATATAGTCCCGCAGTGGACTGATCGTTAAGACACGGTTCTCAGCAGATCACCGAAGTCAAGCATCACTGGCTACGGTCAGTGTGCGGGTGGATGACCACTTTGATCAGTTTGCGTATGGACAGAGGGTGTGCGGTATTGGTCCTCGTTAAACTGTTCTACCGTAAAGTGCTCGACTTCGCGTGCAGGTCGTCGGGCTACCGAAGCGGGGTGCCATCCCCTCTGCAGAGGATCAAAATTGTGATGGCATGTCTTCGGATCATCCTCAGGGGTGTTTCCCAGACCGTCGCCAATAGCCCATCGTGCAGCTCTAGTGCGACGTAAATTAACTACAACAACAACAGCATTGCGATAGGTAAAAATGCAGGCTTTTGATTGGCCAAATTTGTCTGTCGTAATTGCGAACATTTAGCTCAATCCCCCCCCCCTAGAAAGTCATAAATTTACGAAATATAAATTTTTCGTGTTCATACGATAAATTAATGAAGAAGCTAACGTAAATTTGACGGATTTTTCACTATACTGATATTTTCTTAAAAAAAGTCCAAGAAAAAAGGAAACGTGAAATAAATTTTATATTCGATTTGGGGGCCTCCTCTGATGTGGAGGCAACCGCCGCGTATGCTCCTGTCTTAGTCAGGCTCTGAGCATGCCTTCCAGCATAAGCATCTTGGGACTATTCATTACATTTTTGTATTAGATTAAAATTTTTTTATTGGATTTTGTTAAAGTATTGTCTTGCATTGTACCATTTTTACAGCATTCTTTAATCAACAATTATATATTTATTTTGTTTGTTGTTACAGCTATGAAGAGCTTAAGAAAATTGAATTTAAATAGTACAGGGCTGAGTCCAGAAACATTTGAAGAGATAAAGGTAAACATTATAGAAATATTTAACTATTTGAAACGAATTTTAAATTATAAAATTATATTCTGAGTGATAGATGTATAGAGAAGATTTTAGAAGTATGCAATTATTAATAAAGTTAGGAATGATATTATTAAACTGTAGAATTTGTTAAAAATAAAATAATTGTTAAAAATTGTTATGAAAATAAAATGATTATATATTATAAAATAAATGATTATACATTATATAATTAAATGATTATAAATAATTTTTATAATTATAAAATAAAGTATTACTATTGTGTTATCGTATTATTTAATAATTTATAGAATTAGATAAGAAAATAGTTTATAATAATTTATTAACATCAATAAAAATAAATATGCTACCAACAAATAGGGAAATCTAATATTATATTTTAAACATGAATAACATAAAAAATATGATCAACTTTTAATTTACACAAATTAATTTTTATTAAAATAATCTGCATAATTTATAATATTTACTTTTTCATACATATCTAGTAAATATGTTAAATTTTTCAAAATTTATTGTAATTACAAAATTTATTGTACAGAAATTATTATCATTTGGAAACTAATTCTAGGAAATAATTACCTATGTTTATTATCATTTCAGAAAAATATTCCAGTTTTGCAGGAAGTGGATATTCGTTATACAGAAGCTTGGGGATTTTGAGGAATTTGTTCTTCCTAAACTTTATATACGAGCTTTTTTGCCAATTTAAAAAAAAAAATAAAAAATCTCGTGGGTGCTCATATGTGAAACAAGAATGTGTTCCACTATCTCATATTGTTGTGTGATACATAATATAAATATATATACACTTATGTATATATCTAAGGTAGGAAAATTCTTCCGAAACATTTATTTTAACTTCACTATACTAGATGGCGCCACAGGTTCCGAACAGTAAATGATCTTGGAATCTAGGATTCTTGCTGTAGGGATAAAGTTTTGATGGAAATCCACCACCTAAGCACAACTAATGAAGATGTGCAAGCAGTATATCATATGAGATGATTAAAAAGAACGACAAAAAAACTCTTTACGGGGGGGAGGGGATTTGCAAACTCACGCTTTTTTAATACAGGAAGCCACCTCATCTAGCATTTTTGGATCATATGTATCATTAGAAAACTTTTGCCCAGTTTTATTTAAATGTTAGAGAATTTTTTTTTCTGAAAAAAAAAATGTGCTTATCGTCTGTTATAATTTATCTGGATGATAGTTGTTGGCTTGGATGTTAATTTTATAGTTTTGTGAGTTTTAAATGTTGTTTACGTTGCTGCAAGAATGCTCTTTTTTTAATTAATAAGATTTTGTTTAAGAAAGAGAACACATTTCATTAAACAGTTATTGATACATAAAAATTCTGTAGGAAAAGATTTCGATTTTCGCTTGATTTCCTTGAAATATTTTAATTTAAATCATTAAAGTAAGGGAAGTATAAATTTTTAAGAAATAAATAAACAAATAAAATTATAAAATAAATTTTATAAATAAAAATAAATAAATTTGTGTGCATATGTAAATATTTTCACTGTTCAAAGTTAGTTTAAATATATTGAATGCCACTTAATTCTAAATCAGTCTTTTAAATATCAAATTTAAACTACACACAAGAAAAGGTAAAATAAAAAATTTACTTTTTTATTTGTTATCTCTAAATTAACATGCTATCCACAGTCTATGCTGTGTATTTATTTAAGCAATCTGCTTTTAGCATTAATTTTTTTTCATTGTCTTATAATTTTAAAAATTCAAATTCATTAACTTTTCGTCTGAATACTTCTAACATATTAGTTATGAGCTACGTTAGAAGATTTAAAGCATTTAAGATTAAAAGATTCAAAAAATTAAATAATTAAACATTTAATTATATATTCTTTAAGTTTTTGGATTTCTTTTGAAATTATTATTTTATTTAAATTTTAGATTTTTATTTAAAATGGCAGGCTTACCTAACCAAACATTTACTTATATTTTTTAAATTTTTGGATTTTTATTGGGGTAAAAGTAATCTCTCTTGAACTTTTATGGGTCACCCTTAACGAATTTTTAATTAATTATTTGAACAAAAAACTATTGAAAAAAACTTATGTTTATAATTAAGGATATAATTTATAATGCAGTAAATAAATTTGTTGATTACTTTAATTTTTCTATTCACTCTCAGTTTCCTTTTTTTTTTTGCTATTATATTTAATCTGAATGAGATTTTTAGAATTGAGCACTTCTGAATTTGTTCTAGAATAAATCAATTCAATTATATGTGAAAAGCAATGAACGAAATTGTGAATGATATATATCATTATTTATCACTTAAAAACTGTTATAAATTTTTTCAATAACTTTTAAAACGTAGGCTTATGCTTATTTTCTGATTTAAAATTTCTAACATAAATTTTAGTTTTAATATTTGAAACTTTTCATTGAAATTGAATTACAGACTTTTTTTAATCAATCTGTAATTGATGTCATTTATACGACTATTAAATTGATGTAACTAATAATAAATTATAATTTTAAAATATTTATTGTACAGTGTTCTTTTAACTTAACATCAATAGAGTCCCAGTGTTTGCTTTTGCCACAAAAAAGAAAGAAATATTAGACTTAAATATAGGAATTTGAAATAAATTAAATATAGGTATTGTATATGAAGGATTAAAATTCTTTATTTGGACATTAAATAAAATTAAATCAGTTCATCAGTTCATAAATTAAATATAGGTATTGGATATGAAGGATTAAAATTCCTTATTTGGACATTAAATAAAATTAAATCAGTTCATCAGATTATAAATTAAATATAGGTATTGGATATGAAGGATTAAAATTTCTTATTTTGACATTAAATAAAATTAAATCAGTTCATCATGATTACTGAAACATGTTATTCATTCGCAACATTTACTTCTTTACGATCGAAAAACGCAAAATAAAAGATTTGATAAACTATGGTAAAAAAGAAAAAAATGATTTATTTGGAGATTAGGTAAAATACATATGTGCTAATTATTGAAATATGGTATTGATCTCCAGAGTTGGTTTTTTTACAACGTAAATGAAAAAAAATTAAATATTTAAATGAGGGTTTATGATGTAATATTATATAATAACTATTGAAATATGTTGAGGATCCATGCTTTTCCTTTGTCACTTTGTAAAAGAAAAAAAGTAAGAAATATTTTTAAATATTATTTAACTGATAAATATGATTTATTTGGTTATGAGGCACATTAAAATGCTAATTATCATTGAGTTTTGTGATAATTATTGAAATACATTATGCATCTTCAGCGTTTGATTTGTCACCCTGTAAGAAAAAAAATACTTATTAGTTAAAATGGATGAAAATGATTTATATGGAAATTTGATAAAATTTATACTCTATTTATTAATATGTAATGATTATTGAAATAAGCTATGCATCACAAGCGTTTGCTTTGTCACCATGCAAAAAATATTGGAAAAAAATGATTTATTTGGATATTAGATGTATTTGGATATATATGTGAATTATTAAGGTATTGCGAGTTGATTATTGAAATATGTAATATGTGATGATACGTTATAAGCGAAGATCGTTGATTAAAATAGACCTTAACTACATATCACAAGTCAAGATCAGTTGTTGCTATTTATTAATAACTGAATTTATTTAAAAGTTTTCATTGATGTTTTTAGATTTATTAAGGTGGAGTTGCAAAGCAAATATTGTACAAAAAATGCTCTATTTTGTTTTAAAAAAACATACTAATTTTATAATTTCTGAGAATAATGTATTTAAGTGATAATTTATGTGCAATCTTTTCTTAAAAATTTAATTATTTTTTTTAAAAGTATAATCAAAGGTTTTTTAACCTGATCGAGACCCGAAAACAACTAGATTCCTGAGTGCTAATGATGGTCTTTAAAAATAAATATTCTTAAAAAGTATAATAATTGGGTAAAAATAAATACAATTTCAAATTTCGAAGTTAGCGAAAGTACTTAGCGATTGGTTATTTCTAGTAGTATGGGAGAAGCATGAATAAAAACATCATACTGGGAGACAATCATGACAAAATGAAAACTAGAACTTCATTAAAAAAATTATGTACTAGTAGAATTAATGTACTAGTAGAAGAAAAGTAAAACTTTAATGAAAAGGATTAAGCGCGAGTAAGACAAAATTGAATTTAAAAAAAATTCAAGCACAAGAAAAATAAAATTTAAACTTTTTTAAAAGAAAAAATTAAAGTATACGAGTAAGTAAACTTAAAATGTGAAAAAAATAAATTCAAGTAACGAAAGGGATAAATATGAAGCTTCTTTTAAAAAAAATCAAATAAAAGTAAGTTTAATTCTTTATAAACCAAATTCAAATAAGAATAGAAGAGAATATAATCTTTCGATAAAAAAATGCAAGCACGAGTAAGATAAAATTGAAACTTTTTTAACAGACGAATTAGACTACGCAAGTAAGAAAAATAAAACATTAAAGAAAATTTTTTTTCTATATGCGAGTAAGACGAGAGGAAATTTGAAAAAATAAATTCAAGTACAAGTAGAATAAAATTGAGATTTCCAAAAAAAAAGTAAATTCAAATATAAATAAGATAAAATGTAACTTTTTTAAAAAATAAACATATTCAAATAAGTATTAGAGAAAATGGAAACTTTTTAAAAAACAAATTTAAATACGAGAAAATTTTAAAAAAGCAGAAACAAATTCAAATACGAGTAAGAGAAAAATCAAACTTTCTAAAAAACTAAATTCAAATATTAGTAAAAAAAAAAAGAGAATTTTAACTCTCTTCTGAAGTAATTCTACATTACAATTATTCACTATAAAGATATGAGCGATAATTCTAAATAATAGCCTTGTTTAATTTTCAAAATTAAAGCACTTATTATAACTCATAACTTCGAACATTAAGAAAAAGAAATATTTTTTTAGCTCTTTCTTTGCGAAAATTCTAATATCTCAAATCTAGATCGTCAGGTACAGGTTCAAAACCTTGAACATAATAATATTAATTTATTGAGCGAACTTCAATATCAATTGAAGCTTATATTATTCTATCATACGCTTTCTTTGTGATTAGACCTCTTCCTACGCCATCTTGGATTTTAGTTTAAATTTTTGAATCTCGCTCGCTCGATATATTTTTTTTTTGTTAAAACTTCTGACGATATATAGGCTTCTCACTATCTTCAAAAAAAGGTGGAAAATAAAGAGGTCATTTTATTAGATTAAGAAAGAAGTAGAGCTTAATTTTCAGAAATCTCCATGAAATTTTCCTCAAAATTTTAAAGCAGTAAAAATCTGCGATTTGTGATTTCGAATCAGTAATTTAAAACCACACNAAATTGCAGAAAACCAAAGATATTTATCAAAAATTTAGAAACAGACAAATGTATACAACTTAACTACCTTTCAAAAATTACTGATTGCATAACTGTAATGGTATAATTTTGTCAGAAAAAATTAAAAGACAATCTAAATTACTGCAAGTTTTATACCTCAAGTTCTGATTTGGTATCAGCCTTGTATTTTGCAAGTATGAAAAGACACTGAAGAATCAAGTAAATGTACACCATTAATTTATTTTTGAAAATTAAATAAAGAATAATTAGAATTAAATAAAAGAGGCAATTAGAGGGCAAAAGACCTCTAAAGTTCACAGTTTCGTTAATTAATATGCAACAAAAGCACTTTATTTAATATTAATT